CTCCAGATGGGACGATGTGAGTTGTGGCTCACCCAGGAATTGTTTTTGCTACTTTCACTGTAATGTTTTTGGACTGCAGTTCACTGGGGGTCATTAAAACCATTTAGATTACTATTTGTGTTCATAGTATTTCTTTCTCACCAGCCTTGAGTTCTGTTTTCTAAACTACTGTATCTCTTAGGGTTTTAAGGCCTCAGAGCCTAGCACCTGGTGTAGACAGTAGATGTAGGTGTAAACGTAAAAAATGAGTAGCATGGATTGCTGTATGGACAGAGTATGGATTCAGTGCCTTTGGTGATGTCTGCCTTTGCCCCTTTTAAGAACCAACTCTGCTTGTTAGTTAAGGGGCTCTACAGAAGGCTGGAAGATTTGATTTTCTAAGCAGAGGCCAAAGGAAAGCTGGAAACAGAAAGGCTTTAAAAAACAATACAATGCTAACTGGTTGTGTGGGCGTAGATGGCTGTGAAGAGCATATGGACACACCCAGCTGCGGTTGTGTTGGGAGAAGAGTTGGGGAAGATGCCTGACATGTCAATCAGGCTGGTGAGTCATGGGTCTACCCCCTCCCCCACAGCCAGGGCCTGTCTCACAGGCCCACCTTTGCCCCACTTCCCTCTCATCACAGGACCAGCAAGCTGTTCTGTGAAATGCATCTCTCTTGACCGTTTCCCATGTCTGTTCTTTCAAAGACTGTTTGGCTGCTTTTTCACTATATTCTAAGGTTGATTGGGAAAAGTTCTGCAGACCTAAGAGTTGTACAGTTGGAAAGAAAGGCATCGTTCTCAGAACAGATATGGCACTCTGGCAGTCTCTTTCTGAGTGTCCTTTTGAAGGAAGCCCCTGTGCATGCCAGCTCCTGCAGGCCTTACAGCAAGCAGTTAGATGATCCAGGAGCAATGCTGTCTTCAGTGTCTCTAAATACTAAAAACTAAGTCCTTGGTGGACTGAAGTTTGACTTATGTTTAATCAAGCTGCTTTTCTCTGGCCATGGCAGCCTAGATTCTCAAACTGGACTCTGTCCTAGGCCATTGTCCTTGGAATAGTGGGTCATTCAGAGCAGTTCCCGGAACTTATTTTTTTTTCCCAATCCACTAATGGCTCTCCAGCCCTATCCATCTATCCCCACACAACCAGTTAGCATTATATTGTTTTTTAAAGCCTTTCTGTTTCCAGCTTTCCTTTGGCCTCTGCTTAGAAAATCAAATCTTCCAGCCTTCTGTAGAGCCCCTTAACTAACAAGCAGAGTGAACGGAACAGCTCTTGTACTGTTACTTCACTCTCTGGGAACTGTTGGTGGTGTTAGAATCTGATACTTGGGTTTTATTCCTATAGTGTAGCATTTTGTGTGCATACGGCTGTCAGGAGGTGCATGCTAACAGCTAACAGGTCTTTTAAGACCTGTGTTTGGTTTGGGGTCCCTGGGTTCATCCCTGTGTTCACTCAGTTGGACTCAGAAGGCAATATTTAGTGTTTCTATTCAAGTCCTGACTTTATTTAGATAGTCTCTTATGCTTACAAGTTCCTCTCCTGAACTGCTACCCATCCTCTTACCCCCAGAGGTTTGGCAATACTTAGAAATGGTTTAGGAGGTTATCAGTGATACTGTTCACCAGACAGGGACCAGGGATGGGTTAATGATCTACCTTGCACTGGACAATGATCGTTTCCCTCACAATGTCAGTGGCACCCAGAGCATACAGACAGCTGTGACTGACTGGTAGCAGACAAAGGAGGGCTTACTACCTGCCTCAACACTGCCTCAAAGGACTTACACAAAGTAAATAAAGCCTGTCTATAATCATCCAGTCTTTGAGGCAGTTACATTACCATTCCCCTCACTTTATAGATAGGAGGTTAAAAAATCTGCTTGCCACATCTTAAGTAGAGAAATGGGTTTCAAGGCTTAGTTGGTTTTTAAAGCCCCCAGCCCCGACACACTCATGCTTTTATCCCTTCAGTGTGACCCTTCAGTAACTGAGAAAGAGTGCCCATCGGGTAGTAAGAGCTAGAGGTAAAATGCCTTCGGGGAAGGAGACTGTTCAGTAGTCACAGTCCTTGTTTCAGAACCGGGACCTATCACTGGGAATGGAGGTTGATGCTCTTAGTTTCTACCACAGGCTGAGGGAGTCAGTGTCTTCCCAAAGCAAGAGGGATGCTGGGACACAGCCCAGGAGCTACTGCATTCCAGCACTGGTGGTTTCGCCTAGCTCTACATCATATTCCAGCTGTATTGGCTTAATTATAGTTACTAGATCTATCAGATATTTTCATGCATAAAGTGGTTTATCTGGAAATCAACCAGAGAGCACACAGGGAAGGACCACTGGGTGATTAGCAGTTACTGACACTGGCTTTGCTTTTGCTCTTGGAAGTTACAATGTTGGTGATGTTTTCTTTTTTATACGGTATTTATCCTTTGAAAATGTCATGCCTTGATAGAGTATATTTTGATCATATCTATAAGCGAAGTTTTCCTGTCCTGGCCGCCTGCTCCCAAATAGCCAACACAGAGGCTTAATATTACTAGCAAATGCTCGCCCGATAACTCAGGTTGTTTACCACCTAACTCTTACACTTAAATTAGCCCGTATTTCTTATCTATGCTTCGCCTCATGACTTGTTATCTCACATTTTCTACTTCCTCAGCTGCTGACTGGTGTCTCCTCTGACTCCGCCCTTCTTCATCCCAGCATTTTCAGTTTGATTGTCCCGCCCAACTTTATCCTGCCTTGGTATAGGCCAGTCAGCTTCTTTATTAACCCATGGGAGTAATACATATTCACAGTGCACAGAAGGATTATTCCACAGCCCGTATCCATTCACCACTACCTCCCAATATCATTGGCTTTTCCTACAGGCACAGAGGAAGTTGGAAATGTGCCTTCCTAACATTAGTAAAGAGAATTAAAACAGTACACAAATGAAAAGACACTTCTCCAGTCTCTAAATGTGCACTTTATGTTAAAGAGAGCATGCACGCAGGGACAGACTCTTGGGAGATGGGAGTGAATACACTCTGCGATCTCGGTGGGTAATGCATCTACTTCTGTGTGGAACGGGGCAACTCTGTTTACAGAACATCTCAGTACATCGTCCGTATGGATTTGATAACCAGAAAACTAAAGTTGTATTTAATTGAATTCTTGTTAGCTCGTCTTTGTCTTTTAGTTTTTTGTTTTGTTTTGTTGGTTTTTCAATACAGGGTTTCTCTCTGTAACAGCTCTAGCTATCCTGGAACTTTCTCTGTAGACCCAGCTGGCCTCAAACTCACAGAGATCCATTTTCCTCTGCCTCCCGAGTGCTGATATTAAAGGTGTGCACCACCAATGCCCAGCTCTAGTTTGTGTGTTTTGAGACAGGGTCTCACTTTGTAACCCTGGCTGACCTAGAGCTATGTGTAGACAGTTCTGCTTGCTTCTGAAGTGTGTGCTTCCACACCCAGCATTAACCCAGAGTCTGAAGGGTGAAGCACTGCATCTCACTGCTGTGATCAGTTCATTATTTTTTAATGCTAAGTTGACTTGGTCATTGCTAATGGATTACAATCCAAATTTAAAAATCCGTTTATCATGACTTTTTTTGTGCTCAAATGGGAGCTTTTTCTGGAACATTTTTTTCAAGTACTTCCACTGGCTTCTTTCTGTTTGGAGCCAGTGGACTGTGGTTGCAATTCAAGGTGTTTAATATTTCCCTCCTCCCCTGTAGACATGAAGTATTCAAAATAATGACAAAGGTGACAAGTTGCTGGTGGGTTTTATTATTATTATTATTATTATTATTATTATTATTATTATTATTATTATTACTATTATTTGGGGGCCTGTCACCTAGCTCCCAAATAAATGCATGTCGTTAGCTTGGCTTGTTTCTAGCCAGCTTCTCTAACTTAAATTATCCCATTTCTCTTTAACTACATTTTGCCTCTGGGCTTTTTACCTTTCTTTATTTTATATATCTTTCTTCTTACTCTGGCTGACCATGTGGCTGGCCCCTGGTGTCCTCCTTTCCTTCTCCTTTTCTGGGTCCTCCTTCCTCTCCTATTTATTCTCTTGGCCTGGCAACCCGGTTTATCCCTCTCCTGTCTAGCCATTGGCCGTTCAGCTCTTTATTAGACCAATCAGGTGTTTTAGACCAATCAGGTGTTTTAGACAGGTGTATTACTATCCAAAGTAATACAACTTTACAGAGCTAAGCAAATGCAACATAAACTAACATAGCATACCTTAAACTAATATTCTATGACATAAATTATTTTAAGGGGGAGCAGAGTCAAAAATGGGTAATGGAGTATATATGACTGGGAAAGAGGAAGGGGACCAGCAAAAGGAGTAACTGTGGGTTAGGGGTGTATTGTATGTGTGTGCGAAAATGCTATAGTAATAACATTGGGGGCAGGATTGGGCTAGCAAGATGGCTCAGCAGGTAAAGGCACTTGCTGACAAATGTGACAACCTAAGTTTGAGCCCCTTGGACCCACATAGTAGAAGGAGAGAATCAATTCTGGAACTTGTCCTCTGACTTCCATGTACATGCATGCCCCCCCCCACACACACACACAGACTCTTTCTCTTTAAATAAATACAAGAAGAATGTTTTAAAATTTACACACACACACACACACACACACACACACACACACACAGTGTTATGAGTGTCATTTCCCTGTGGGGATGGATGTCTGCCACCTTTCAATCCCCTTCATTCTTTCACACCGAGATTCAGCATCACAGGGATGATTTTTATGGAACTGAGAAAAGAAGTTCAGGAACCTGGGACTTTGTTTTCTGTGTGAATTCACAGGATGCTTCATTGTTCTGATTTCTAAATTAGACCTAGCATATCAGTTGCACGAGGAGTTAAGAGCAGTTTTGTTTTTGTGGGAGGAATTCAACCTTTCCCTTTGCACCTTGGAAAATGGCTTGTTCTTGTTCTTTTAGGAAAATGCATGTAAGAAGTATTTTGAGTAGACACTAATCAATGTCTCTTTTTCCCTCTAATAGGTTTTAAAATGGAACATTTCGATGCATCACTCAGTACCTATTTCAGGGCATTACTGGGCCCCCGAGGTAAGGTGGTTTTGCATTTTGCTCACTATCTCTGGCTTCCCTCCCATCTCTTTATGGCGCCTTGTAAATATTGCATGAGGAAATCTTAGAAAATATTTTCTGTGATGACATAAAAACTTTATCCCCAGTAGCAAGAGGCCTTGAAGAATCCTCTTGTAGTTGAATGCTGTCCCCTGATTCTTAGGACAGAGACTCAGCTGCTGTAGCCATCTCTCCTCTGGCTTCAGCTGCCACACCTTAATGGTGGTACACTTTTCTTAAAGCTTGACTCCTAGAAGAGACCAAGCAGTGCATTCCCAACAAGCACTTGCCCTGATGTGCTTGCAAAGTTCTAAGGCTTCTTTCCTCTGACACCTGGGTCTTGATGTATCACCCAGGCTGGCCTTAAAGCCCAGGGATCCTCTTGCCTTAGCTACTTAAGTGCTGGGCTCTGTGTGTGTGTGTGTGTGTGTGTGTGTGTGTGTGTGTGTGTATGTCATCACACCCAAACAGAAGTATATGTTTACGGTACTGGGCATAAAACCCAAGGCTTCATGTGTGCTGGGTAAGTGCTCTATTGTTGAACTATATACAATGTAAATAAGCCCATAAGGATCTTTTCCCTCATTTTTAAAGTAGTTTTTATACTATGTTTATTTTAGCTATGTTGATTGTACAAGGAAATGGCGTTCTTTTTGACATTTCCATGTCTACGGGATGAACTTGGTTTATATTCGTTCCCCGCCCCTCCCCCTGCCCCTCTCTTTTGTCCCTTCCCCATCACCTGTCCTCTTTCACATCTCTAACAGTGCTTGAAGGGTTTGTTTATAACTCATTGCATTTCATGTCATACACCTGAAGTCCCTGGTTACACAACTGTTAGTCTTGGTTGTGTTTTGTTTGTTTAAGTAAACTGGCTCTTCATGGCCTTTTAGTATTGGCCATAATGTCTTCTTTAGAAAAGAATATTTTGAGCGGTTCACAGAGATGTATTAGATTTCCATCACTGTGACAGAATAACTGAAAAAATCAACTTAAAGGAGGAAAGGTTATTTTGGCTCCTGACTTCAGAGGTCCCAGTCTATCTTGGTCCTGTCATTCTGGGCCTGAGACAAAGCTGTCGTTGTTGAGCGTGGCTGAGGGTGTAAGGACAGACCCAAGGATAAGATGCTCCCTTCAGTGGGAAGCCTTACTAACCTATACTCTCTGCCAGGCCCCACATTCTATAGTTTTCAGCACCTCTTGGTAGTCCAGTCAATAATAAACCCAGCAATGGAGTCATCCATTGGTGATGTTGGGAACCTCATAATCCAGTCCTTTCCCCCAAAGCCCCAACTAGGAAGCTGTGAACAGCTTCTTACCAGACCAAAAGATTCTCAGTTTCACTCATGATTTTTAAAGTGCAGAAGAAAACAACCAAAGAACTTCATCTCATGTCATATGACAGAGGTGAAATGGTGTTTGATACCATCTGTGACTAAAATAAGGGTGTGGGGAGTCTTTTCTTCTGTGGCAGCTAAAATGCATGTACCCGACTAGTAACCCTGAGCTGTTACCCTACAGTGATTAGTCTCGCAAAGAAGAGTGAAGGATGCTCATTTTAGAATTGTCAAGACTGGCATCAGCTAGGAACATGTTCAACGAGAGGGTGGTCAATTGGGGGGGGGACAAAAAGAAAACAAAGAACAAGTTAGGTTGGTAGTGATGGCACAAGCCTGTATTCAGGAAGGCGAAGCAAGAGAATCCTATGTTTTGAGAGTTACACAAGCTGCACAACAAGCCCCAAGCCCTACCAAGCTTAACAGTGAAAGACAAAGAAGAAGCACAGCTAGATGCATCTGCATCAACTTGTGTTGAAACTGCACCTTCTTGGCTGTAAGACACAGAAAATCCATTTTTTAAACTGTCTGAAATAATAATAAAAATGACTGTCTTACTTTGCAAGGAAGAGTAGCTACTGTGCTATTTCAAGCGTTCTATGATAGTAACCAAGAACCCTGTTCTTTATATTTTTCCTCTTCTCCATCCTCATCTGAGCAGCTCAGTTCTCAGGATGGCCACCTGTATGATTGCAGCAGCTGCAGGCTATCTATCCAACACAGGAAGAAGACGTTTGTCCATTGTATGATTTGTAGAACAAAGGCAGCTTTTCACCTAGAAGCTTATTCCACATCTCCATTTCTGAACTGGCTACAGAGCAGTGAGCTACTGTGACCAGCTGGATCCCTAGGAACTCCTTGCCTGGGGCTGGGGTTGGGACCAGCTGCTATGGGTCCCCTTGGAGGGAGGATGGGTACTTGCTGAAAATATACTATACAAATGAGCAGGGCGCTGGACTGAACTTTAAGTGAAAGAACATGGAAAATTTTATATTCATTGTGTTTATAATATATATGTATACACAGAAGATGTTAGCTGGGAAGTGGTAACCTACTTTCTCAAGACAGACTGCTAAGGCCCAGGGCTGAGAACAAAAGGTGTTAGGAATGCCATCATGGCAGCCACTTCCCTGAAGGACTTCTGAGAACTGACGGTACTGTCCGCTGCCACTCTGACATAACTGGTGGGGGGGATATGGAGGCAGCATCTCTTGCTGAAGCCAAAGAAAGCAAGCCATGAAAGACGTGCTGGGAAGGCTCAAAGTGTCTGTACAGATAGAAGAATGGCACTTAGTTCCCCAACGGGAGCTATTTATTGAGCATTTTCTTCCTCCCTGTGAGATCAAGGCAAAAAAAAAAATGTGGGAGGCAAGCATGGCAGTGCATCCAGAGGGCAGGGCTATAGGCTGTTAATACCAGGTACTTGGGTTTTGGTGAGAAGGTAAGAGTGGGGTGTCCTTTGAGTCAGTGTAAGTCTCAAGTTCCTATAGGGCTCTAAATGTCTTAAACAGTCCCTGTCCGATCATGGCTGAGCCAATAGCGTTGCATTGTTTTCACTCATTGGCCCTCAGTTGCTGGCCTTCTAGTGGGGCACAGTGTCCCTAATCTGGCTACATGGCACATAGCTTGTTGCTGAAGGTCCTTTGAGTGCAGACTACTTGTGTTTCATGACTCCATGTTAATTTAATAAACATAATAAATTTGGAGGGTGATTTAGCTTTAATTTTCCTTCAGATTTGTTTGAAAGCCCATTTTTATTACATAGCAAAAACGTAAGTAAATAAACCATTCTAAACATACATCAGAAAGCTTTGCCTTGTTTGATGTGTATCTATAGGTATTCTACTTTGTGCAGATTAAATGCAACATTAGTCTCAGGTGGCTTTGGGGATGGTGTTTCTTCTCTGTGCCTTACCAATTACTAAATATTTTTCTTCTGGTGTTTTTCAGATACAAGGGTAAAAGGATGGTTTCTTCTGGACAATTACATACCTACATTTGTCTGCTCTGTCATTTACTTACTAATTGTATGGCTGGGACCAAAATACATGAAGAATAAGCAGGCATTCTCTTGCCGGGGAATTCTAGTGGTGTATAACCTTGGACTCACCTTGCTGTCTCTCTATATGTTCTATGAGGTAGGTCAATGTCTGCTAAGGGATGAACTTTCTGTACACTGTGAATATGTATTCCTCTCATTGGTTAATAATAAAAGCTGTTTGACCAGTAACCAGGCAGGATAAAGTTAGGTGGAACAATCAAACCAAGAACTCAGATGAGTAGGGGCAGAATCAGGGGAGACACCAAACAGCTGCCGGAGCAACAAGATACACCAGAGAACAGGTAACACCATGAAGCCACGTGGCAAAGTATAGATTAATAGAAATGGATTAAGTTTTTAGAGCTAGTTAGTAATAAGCCTAAGCAATAGACCAAACTGTAGTTAATATTTTAAGCCTCTGAGTGAATATTTAAAGGTGGCTGTGGGACCTGGTGGGACAGAAAAGCCCCCATTTACAAACGAGAGTTTCCTTCCACTGTTCTGTTCTGATGATGCTCTCCTGAGTTGTGTCCCTAAGTGAGGGAAAGTACCTGCTTCTCTCAGGTAGAGAACTGGGCAGCTAGTCTATTAATGCGTTTTGAGTAGGTTTTAACATTGATCTTAAGAAAAAAAAAGTTGTTTTTACAAATGTCTCCTAGAATACCTAAAGTAGAAGCCTTTGTTATTCTTTTGTTACTCATGTTTCGTGTGACATTCAGAACTAAACAAAATATTTTCCAACACATTTGTATGCATGCAGAATACAGGCTGGAGAATGAACAAAATGTAAAAAGCAGATCTGTGCACATTTTATTAAGTGTTTAATAAAAGCTTGTTTCTCGTGTGGAGGCGGAAGGGAGTGCGTGGTGTGTTGATAAATTCTGTGGCCATTCAGCCTTTGTTCTGCTCTGGTAGCTTGTCAGATCTCACAAGTTTTGTTTTTAAAGTTTTGCTGTGCATAATTCATTGTACATAGCACTGTGTTAACCTGGGGATACCTATACACAAGTACACACTGTGTATGAGCTGATTTGAAAACCTGAGACACATGAATGGTAAGATTCCCATTTAGAATTTTAATGGTCTGTGTGAGTTCAGGTCCAGTCACTTCTTTTATATGGCCAGAATGTCCAAATGAGGTGTTTAGGCTTCAAAGGCAGATACTCACAGTCAACATTTTAGTTCTCCCTATTTTGCAAGGGATGATACAGCCTGCAAAGCCAGGAAGGACGGGAAAGCTGTCCTCTGTTGTTAAGCAAAGTGTGTGTCTTTGGGAAGGACCGTAGTTTCCACACTCACTTTAACCTATTGCTAAATCCCCTTGGACAGAGACTTCATATCTACACACAAAATGGACACCTTGGGATACTCTTAATATGGCTTTAATTTTCCCCAGAAGTAGTGGGGAAGAGGGTGGGGAGGGGATGAACTGCAGTGGTGACTTCCTGGCTCACACTGAGCAGGAATGTGAGCTAGTAAAAACTGCTATGTCCAGTGGAAGGGATGCAGCGGGAAGACCTGCTTGTCCCCTCGTGTGTGTACCCTCTGCCAAAGTATAGATGGTGCGACTAGATGAGAATAGGACTAGCCTTGCTTTTATGTTTAACACTCAGAGATTTTTTTTCTTTCTTTTCTGACCCATTCTAGAATAAAGGCAGTTTAGCCTCCAGGATGGAGATTTCAGGCCTCGAGGCAGGGACAGAGTACAGGTGTGACTGCAGGTCCCAGTCCTGGGTACTGTTCTTCATGCTCGAAGGACAGATTGCAGCAGCTGTCAGGTTCCAGAGCAAACTTTTCTGTCATATAACTGAAAGACGATAGAGCCATTTCCTTAAGTAAGCTTCTATAGACTTTAATATTGTATGTAGTGTATTCTAGAAAAAAAATAATTTAGGGTGATTGAATTTTAGAGAACCAGAGTGTTTGCCAAGGATGTTTCACAAACCCCAAAGACGTGGCCATTATGTAATTTAGCTCCATGTACAGCTGTCTCTGAAGTGAAGAAGAGAAGCAAATGGCTGTATAAACTGATGGTCTATGCATCTGATTAGGGACTTGTGGACAGCCCGTGGTTAAAAGTAGTTTCCCCTCTGGCACTGTGGTAGGAATGTGTTCTTTGTGCACCATCTAAGCCCCACGTGTAGAGAAGAAATGTAAAGAATATTTAGAGGGAAACCCCACCCTTAACTCCCGAGCTTGCAAGGCATAAAGGGCTACACACAACAGGCAGCTGTTACTTGTATTAAATCAGGTTTGTGAGTTTCTATTCTGATCACACTTATACATGAATGATAACCCCTATCTGTAGAAGGAAGTTCTGTTCTATCCTACCCTGCAGCTGCTCAGTCCCAAAGAAACACAAAGAGACTTATATTAATTATAAACCTCTTTGACCTATTGCTTAGGCTTATTACTAACAAGCTCTTAAAGCTTAAATTAACCCATAATTCTTATCTTATGTTTAGCCACGGGGCTTGGTACCTTTTCTCATCTTGCTTCCTCTGGGTCTGGCTGGCTATTGTGTCTCTGCCTTTCCTCTTCCCAGAATTCTCCTAGTCTGGTAGCACTGCCTATACTTCCTGCCTGGCTACTGGCCAATCAGCATTTTATTAAACTAACACGAGTGACAGATCTTTACAGTGAACCAGAGCATTATCCCACAGCACCTCTTGCTCCAGAGTGATCGTCCTGCATGGTTGCTGCTGTTCTGTTCTTCCATAGGCTCGTCAGTGATAAGACTATAGTGTGTCCCTTGTTGAGTTTAGGATTTCATTTCAGTTCCACGTTCTTTTCTGGAACGTGTGTTTGTATTCTATTGACACAGTAGGGCAGCCATGAAGCCTTAGTGGCTAAGCTGATGGGATCATGAAGCCTGTGGGGTACAGTATCCTGCTCATCGCTCTCTAGTTACCTTCCTGCTTATTGACATATTTGAGGCTGTAAAGAATTTTTAAAGCAAATACTTAGTCATGGGTATTTTAATTACAAATCTGCCTTGACAAGTTGTGGGTCAGTACAAGAAGTAATGACTGCTTAAAGGAAGCAGAAGTCTTAAAAGAAGGGTGATAAGGAAATGAAAGAGAAGCCACAGAAATAGTAAAAAGAACTAAAATTTGAAAGTGAAGCTTAAGTTCAAAATGCAGAAGGAGTATAGGTGTATTTATAGTTTATGCATTTGGAAGGGGAAAAGAGTTAAAAGGAGAAGGGGGCTTGTGCTTTTAGTTATCTTATTGTCCTAATGTTTGTTAGGCCAGACATTCCTGATTTTTAAGTGTATTTGAGATGTGGAATATATTGGTTTGAAAGTATTGGGTGTTTTAGGTTTCCCTTGTTGACAGTAGGCACTGTGTGGCATCCCAGACAGGGATGAAGATCTGAGACTCCAGGTTGTAGAAGAGAAACTTCCTGCCTTAGTTACTCAGTGTTGTGACACAGCTCTTACAGAAACATAAGCATAAGCATCCATGTGCTTCCTGCCCTCTGAGAGTGTATTTCAGCCGAATAGACACACCGCTGTTTGTCAAGCTATCCTTGTCAGTGTTTGTGGTGAGAACCCCATAATACTAAACACCAGCTTGATTGGATTAGGAGCCATCTAGGGCATAATGAGGCATGCTTTTGGGTGTGTTTACAGATGGGTTTATGTGGAGGAAGACCCATCCTGACTGATGGGGGTGGGGGGGTGACACAGATGAGTGATGGCCTTCCTCTCCCTGCCTCCAGAGTGGAACAAGCCACTCTGACCACCATGAGGGAATGCATACTCAGAACTGAGCCAGAATGAACACTTTTTGAAAGGTAAAAGGAACCGATGCAAACCCCTGCCTGCACATCGAGTGGCTTTCCCTTATTCTCTGTGTTTGCACCAGCTGGACCTGCATTTTCCTGTCAGCCCTGCAGCAAGCTATCAAAGCGACTTCTGCTCCTTTGTCACAGTGTTACACAAGGTGTCCCTCTCAGGCAGCTGCTCCGCTCTGACCTGAGGCTGTTTTGATGTGTCTGCTCTTTTCCCATTGTGCCTCTGACCTCCGTGGCTCTGCATGGAGAGATCTAATTGTGTGGTTTGATGTAGTGTAAAAGGGCACGTTCATCTTGCTCAGCCTGTGGTTGCACACACTGATCCTGGACTCTACAGCAGTTGTCAGGGAGGCAGGGTCACTGCGGTATAGTGCCTTTGCCTTTGGTCGCCCCAGGGATGCATCTCTTCGGAAAGCTACACTCTGGGCTCCTCTAGGCTGTTCTGCTCAGCTCTGTCCAAACCCCACCAGCACCAGCTCTTTGATTCTTCCTCCCTGCCCCCAACCTCTTCGGCATCTCTGTTCCCAATTGAAGTGCTTTCGTGGTCCGCCCATCAACATCTCATTCCATCCCAGCCCACACTCAGACACCTGTGAGGAAAAGGGTCCCCCTACATCCTTCCATTGTTATTTTGTTTACACCACAAAAGCAGTCCTTGTATAGGAATAGGGGGAAAGTCAAATGCCAGAACCACATTTATACTATTTAACAATCCAATATAAATTACAGGCTACAAACGATTACTTTTCGAGTATGTCTTTTTTTTTCTAGTAGCTGTAGGTAGAACTGTATGTTGGTGGAAAATGTGACCCATTTATCTTCCCAACATTAGAATATTTAAAATTTTGTGTAAAAAAATTATTCCTGAGAAGACAGACCTGGTTTAACATAAATCCGAGCGTATTCTTTATTTCCCTCCCCCAGTGCTGGGCATGCATACATACACTGCTATTCTTGGCTTTCACACGGGTTCTAGGGATCCAAATTCAGGTCCTCATTCTTGTGCAGCAAGCTCTTTGCCAACTGAGTCATTCATTTGGATCAGTTTTGTAAAAGAACCGATACTTGAAGCTGGGCATGGTGGCACATGCCTGCTGCACCAGGAGGATCGGACCATAGTCATCCTTGGCTTATGTAGTAAGTGAAGCCAGCCTGAGGCATGTGAAACCCTGTCTGAAAACAAAACTTTAAATGTGTCCTCTAGCTACATCCCCGAGGTCATGCTCCTGAAGTCATGATGTAGCCTATGCTATTTTTTTTTTTTTAACTTTAAAAACAGAAGTGTTCCTTGAATGTCCC